TGCGACCCCCACTACTACTGAACTCCCCTCTCTCGACTTACACATCGCGCATTTAGGAGCCACCACTACTCGCGCGACCTATACGCCTTCTACCCATCCTAATAACTTCGTGGCACCTCTGTATACTCAAGAACGACGTTCCAAATCTCACATATTCCTGAGAAACATTCGTTCAGATGGAACAGAATTGTACCCTTTTAGGGGAAGTATAATGGACTTGTTCTTAAACACTGTTGGTAGTTCATGACAGAATATGCACTATCAAAACTGCAACAATCGTTTCAAATCCAGCGCACTTTCTACCAAAACACATTACATTATGTAGGGATTAAATGACTGTTCAGATTTCACGTGTCTAGGAAAACAATAATTTATTGTTCCTCTCTGATTTCTCGCAGCACTAGTATTTTTTTTAATCATTTTCAATATGTCTTGTATCATATGTGAGGAAACCAAGAGTAACTGGTATATCAAATAGCTTCGAAAGTCACAGTGTGATCACTTTCTTTCTTAACCCATGAAAAATTAAAAAAAATGTACAAAACTGGACTATGGATATTAAATTTTAGAAGTAACGTTATTTGTTCTTTGCATGGTGTTGCCACCTCTCGACAAGCCAGAACTATGCACACATGCATACGGAAACAAGGAATTCAGTATGGAGAAAGGTTCACAAATTAACTGATCATCCCGTATTTTCGCAGTTAAAAATTTGATATACAGTCTGTCTTCGTCTCCAAAGCTTAGTTGGGGGTGGGGGGGAGGGGGGGTGAAAACACAATCATTAAACTGTATATTGAGTCGTTATTAGCAAAATAACATAAAATTACCGAATTTCTGTTGTTTAATCTCCGAAAGTGCACGACAGGGTTCGATAAAAATTTGGTAAGAGCTGCATAATGAATTTAATTTCATGGTTGATTGCCAAATACAATCCTACTTTATATAAATCTTATTAAATTTGTAGATATTCGCACATAACACAATAAAAAGAACAATACATATATAGATACATATTTTGTTGAAGTCTACAAAATATTCTACAAATCATAATTTTCAACAAGGTGAATACGAGGTGCGATCAGAAAGTTTCAAGATTATGTCAATAGAGGGCGAACCGGATGTAGTACGAGCATCTGCCGCTAAGGGGTTGGGCCTACATTCATAGTGAATCAGTGTGCCAGCCGGCATCATCGAATTAGCATTTGTTTCTTAGTTACGGGCGTTTTGGTAGTGCATTACACCGACCCTCCTGCGATTTCGGAATGGCGGATTTTCATGAACAAATCAAATTTTGCCAAAGACTCGCCAAAACGGCTAAGGAAACCTATGAAATGCTAAAGCAAACATTTGGGGAGTCCGCAATGGGTCGTGCACAAACGTTTGTGTGGCATTCACGTTTTAAAAATGGCCGAACCTCTGGCGTTTTTTTTGGCGCTGGGATCGTTGTGTTCACTCCCAGGGGAACTACTTCGAGGGTGATGGATGAATTTAATACCTGAGATAAGTGTACGGGTTTTTATAAGCGCAGTCTGGAAACTTTCTGATCGTACCTCGTATGTAACAAAATACAATAAAAAACAGTGCATAACTTTACAAAGAGGAGCATATGTTACACGATTATTTATGAAACAAAATATTTGTATATGCAGCAAATTCACAATGGTACTGAACTATGAAAACAAATTCCTGTTTCTAATGCACTTTTAACGTGACTTAGAATCTCCGTAAAGTCTTAAGTCAGTAGTACAATGCTAAATTGTTAAAATGAACAATACTTTCTAACGTGAAGTTATTTCTTTCTTCAAAATGCCCAGCTCAGTGTTTAATAAGTTTTATCTTTACATTTGTCTGCAACTTACGTGACATGTTTCATACACATTCTATTACTCCTCACAACTGTTTTAAGTTAGGGAAATTAAATATGAGGATTTCTGTCTTCTGGTTTTTTGCGCTGTGTAGTCTGGTCGATGTTACCAACGTTTCAGAGGTCCATACTGCCTCCGTCAGGGCGATGAATATTCAGTATGACCTCTGAAACGTTGGTTAACATCGACCAGACTACACAGCGCAACAACCACGCAGACAGAAATCTTCATACTCCAAAAAGTATCCGACTATATTTTTTCCCGCAGTAAGTAATGGTGAAAGGGTGGGGAAACTGAGCGTAGAGGTAGAAGGGACTTTCATGCGCATGCGTGATTTTTTGCTTCCTCGCAGCACCGCCGGATGCGTCTGTCGCTGCCAGATAGCGAAGTGGTGTAACACGTGTTCGTCGCATTTTCGATTAGCTCAAGATGACGGAACGCTTGGAGCAGCGATACTGCATCAAGTTTTGTCAGAAACTTGGGGATACCCAAGCGGAAACAATCCGCAAAATTTAGCAGGCTTTCGGCGATGATGCAATGGGGGTCACTCAAACTAAAGAGTGGTTCAACCGCTTTATAGATGACCGCATGTCGGCGGACAGTGACCAGCGTTCCGGGAGACCGTCAACGAGCCGAAATGCTGATGCCATTGACAAAGTGCGGACACTGATCATGGAGGACCGTCGTCTGACCGTCCGGGAAATTGCCGATGAGGTTGGATCAGCAGAGGTTCCGCAAATACGATTTTAGCTGAGGATTTGGGCATGCGAAGAGTGGCGGCAAAATCTGTGCCAAAGCTGCCTTCGCCGGAGCAGCTACAACTCCGCCTTGGGGTCGCGCAGAACATGCTGGAGTGCGCCAACAGGGATCCTGAGTTCCTGAAGACAGTGATCACTGGTGACGAGTCGTGGGTGTACGGATATCACCCGGAAACCAAGGTCCAGTCGTCACAACGGAAGCATCCAACATCCCCGAGGCCCAGAAAAAGCACGACAGATTCGGAGCAATGTGAAGGTGACACTGACTGTGTTGTGCATCATGACAACGCCCCAGCTCATTCATCACACCTGATCCAGGGTGTCCTGGCCAAGCGCGGCATTCCGCAGGTTCGCCAGGCTCCCTACTCTCCTGACATGGCTCCTTGTGATTTCTGGCTGTTCCCGAGAATGAAGACACCGCTAAAGGACTCCCGTTTTGACAGCCGCGAGGACATCATACAGAACGCGACGGCTCAGCAGCACACCATTCCAAAATAAGCCTTCCAGAATTGCTTCCAGCGATGGAAAGGACCGCTGGGCTAAGTGTGTTGAGTCACAAGGGGGCCTACTTTGAAGGGGATTAGGTATTGTGACCCCCCAGATACAGAACTTTGTTTTCCCGTCCCAAAGTCGAATACTTCTTGGACAGACCTCGTAAATCACGACTTTTGCAAACACGTTTTCATAAAAATAATCATTTAAACTTTATTCTTTATACAGATTCATAAAACGAACTTAAATTTAGGTTCCTTCGTAACAAAATGTTAATTTTTCTAAAATACAACGGATCAGCAAAATATTCTTTTCCGTGTTGTCCCTCGTGTTGAAGGGTTTTGCTCTTAATACATTTATTTTACATGCCATACGCAAACATCTGCATTATAAGATTGAATTAATAAAAAAATGAGCAAACACATGTGTATGTGTGTGTGTATATCTGGCGGCATTCAAACAAATAACTGACGATGTTGTAAAACATTTAATAGGACTATGTTATCCAATCTCACACCAGCTGCAAATACACAAACCCAAATGGAAAAGTCAAACGACAAGAAAATAACCAAAGGCCTCAGAGCTGACGTAACATAGCAGCAGGATTTTATGCACTAGAATTTAGCCGACTTCAACACAAAGAAATGCGTGTCACAAGAGAATAACGTGACGTTATGAATCTGCAAGAAGCTTTTTCCTAAGCAACACTCAGATTATAACAAGAATACGGTATTATACACCAAAGTTTGGACATCGTTAATAAAAATTCCCACCCCCGAGTAATACTTTGGGACCAGCTAAAACCCATGAGCATAGCCAACCCAAAGTCCTCACAATAGATTTTCATACAAGGGTTACTTCAAAAGTCACGGCAACTTATTTTTTGGGGGCAAACACGTTATATTGAAGAATGTTCAAAATATACATATGAAAGGGCACGATATACTCCTCTCATTCGTGTAGTCAGATCAGGTTAATTTATATAAATAACTGATACAATACAATCTTCAATAAGGTAAGTGGAAAACACATGAGGCCGAAGCTAATCTAAATAGCAGTTACGGAAAAATAAAAAAGTCAGCATATTTCTTTGGATTGGCATCATGTGTGTATGAAAGAAATATAAAGCTGTCCCACTTAGGGTGAGTGGAGGTATAGCTCCTCTCATTCTTGACCTCGGCACTAAACGGGGGTGAGTGGTCAGCATCATGCCCCGGCCGGCTTTACCCCCGGGAAAGGACCCCGGTACCCATTGTAGAGGAGGCTGTGTGGGCCCCAGAGCCGGACGCAGAGTCCTGAGGAAAAATCCTAAGGGGATCGAACCCCGGTCGTCCAGTCCACTTCTAGTTGCATGAGTGTGTCGAATTATGCGTCTCTATCTATCTCCAAAAATTTCATTGTGATTATCCGGGGGGGTTAAATGGTTTAAGCTAAAACTAAAAATGTGACATGTAAAATCCGTAGAAAGATTTAAAATGAAATGACAAATTACATAACGCATTGACATGTATCAATTGTGGATAAAACCTGAAACTTATTATAACAGGTTATTACAACCGGATGTTAAAAGTTTTAAAATTTGAAGGTATGTACTTAATTAAATTTAAAAGAAGAGTCTCTTCCGTTATTAGAAAATCTTCAAAAAATTAAGTAGTGTATGTCTGTAAATAAACATAGATATTTTTCTTTCATTTATGCGGGCTATTCAAGGTTACCATTAACTGGGTTCATGATCGGAAGTCAACTGTAATTATAGCCTACGGATGTAAAACAAAATTTAATTAGCTTACGATCCATAACATTTCAATGCTGTAATTATGTTTAACTCACCATTTGTACATCTCAATTGTTTAAACACTTTTTCATTCAATTGTTGCAGCGTGTTGATACATTATTTACATTGTTGGAATGTTTGCTGACGTCATCAACAAAACTCCTGCAACACAGACGTGAAGAAACAGAACGGAACAGAGAACAGTCTGCAACCAACAATTTGAAAGAGAACATAATTTTATAAGGTAAGTGGCAACTGGCCTCCTGACTAAAACTTTGTTTGCATCTTTCATGTCCAAATTATAACTACAATTCACTTCGCAGCTAATGGCATGGTTCAGATATTAAGTGTAGAGAATTATTTTTCGTTATGAGCCGTTCAATCTCTCTTTTAACCTTTCAGATGGAAAATAACTTCACAGTTGATGCGAACAGCACCGAAGTCGCCAAAACCCTGGTTCCACTTCTTCAAATCGGAATTGCAATCGTGGCTATCTTTGCATTTCTCCTTCTACTTATCATATCCGCCTTTATAGCAAGCATTTATGAGCTATATCAGTAAGTACACTTGGATACTGTTTCAAACAACTATGATTTTAAGCATACATTTACAATTCCGAGAATATTTTTCATATTTTGCAATAAGAAAATGTCTAAATTAAAAGTCATAAAATTCGCTACAAAAAATCGGAACCACCTCCCAGAGTATTAATATAACAGCCAGGTGGCGTATCAATAATCTGGATTTTGCATGCAACACCGAAACGTCAGTCAACTTCTAAAGACTTTTCTATCCCGATGAAAAATCAGCCATATCACATTATTTATAAACTTCAAATGCAAATGCCTTTAATTTAGTACAAGTTCTTGTAGCTTCTAACCCTTTCGGTTATATTACTTTAAAATTAACTTTTCTAATGCGTCCGTAGTCTATTTGGAAGCCTGGACGTAAGCAAGAGTAGTGTGAGGTAAGAGGTCACTTCATCACCCACGCACAATAATATCCTTTATGTTTGTGATCTCAATCTGTGTTACAGGACCTCTCATGAATCACCAGATAATACGACATTGATTACGATAAGTGCAGTTTCCAACACAGAAATCACCGACAATTCCACCCCTAAAATAACAGCACCAACAGATTTAACATGTGCAAAACAACTACCACTCGAAATACTAAAGTTTATTCAAATGATTTTGTATACTCTATTAGGGATATATCTCGGATTACTAGTAATATATTCAGACCGAAAAAGGTAAGTACACTTGAATACTCCTTGAAACATTTGTGATGGTAAGCAGACGTTTTGTATTCCTAAGGAACGAAGAAAATTACAATTATTTATATTTTACGATGAGAAAACGATTTAATTTAAAGACTAATAAAATTCGCTACAAGAATTTTGAAGTAGCCCACAGAGGATTATTGTAACAACCAAGTGGCGTAACTGCAATCTGGAGTCAGCACGCAACTTCGAAACGTAGCTCAACTACTGAAGACTTTTCCACCGAATGTGAAAAACGGTTTAAAAATATCTGTTCCAAAATCTGCTACATGCCATTCATTTTAAGCTTGAAATGCAAATGCCTATAATTTAGTACAAGGTTTTGTAGCTTCTAAACGATTAGGTTATATTATTTTGAAATTAACATTTTTAATGCGTCCGTAGTCCAATTGTTTGCCTGGACATAAGCAAGAGCTAAGAGGTCACCTCGTCACCCACGTACAATAATCACCTTTATCTCTGTGATCTCAATCTGTGTTACAGGGCTACTTATGAATCACCAGATAATACGACATTTATTACGATAAGTGCATTTACCAACACAGAAATCACCAACAATTCCACCACTAATAGTACATCGCCAACAGATTTCACACGTGCACAAACACTCCTACGATTATACGTACTACTGGGGAGTTTTATGATTGTGACTACACTAATAATGATATATAAAGTGTCATTAGAATTATATAAAGAGCGAAAAGAGTAAGTACACTAGCATATTGCTTCAAATATTTATGATCGTAAGCAGAATTTTCGAATTCCTAGAATATTTAGCTAAGTAACAAGAAAATTACGATATTTTTATATTTTACGATAAAAAAACGTTTGAATTTAAAGACTAATAAAATTCACTACGTAAAACTTGGAGCACCTCACAAAGGATTATTGTAGCAGCCAATTGGCGTAACTATAATCTAGATTCAGCTCGTAACTTCGAAACGTCACTCAAATTCTGAAGAAACACCGAATGTCAAACACGTCCTGAAAAATATCTGTTCCAAAATCTGCTATATGTCATTAATTTTAAGCTCGAAATGCAAATGCCTTTAATTTAGTACAAGGTTTTGTAGCTTGTAAACGTTTCGGTTATATTACTTTAAAATTAACATTTTTAATGCGTCCGTACTGCAATTGGTTGCCTGGACATAAGCTAGAGTAGTATGAGCTAAGATGTCACCTCATCACCCACGCACAATAATCTCCTTTATCTCTGTGATCTCAATCTATGTTACAGGACTACTCGTGAATCAGAACATAATTCGACATTGATTACGAAAAGTGCAATTAATTCCACCACTAACAGCACATCACCGACACTTTTCACATGAGCACACGAAGAACTATCAGCGCCACACCATGTATCAGGAGAAACAAATAGTATCTGTATTTATATTATATTTTTTAGGCAATAAATACAATGAAAGGAAGTTTATATATTGGCTTTATTCTAAATATTCCATTTATACATGCTTTACAATTGAGTAAATAGTTTGATTAAGACATTGCTTATTTAACTTGAATTACTTACGCTTAAGATGTGTCTGTGGTAGCTGAAATATGTTATAAAATTTGTGCACTTTAGAGTATCAACATATAGTGCAAACACCATATCTATACCAGATTTTGATCTAGTAGTACTACATTGAGGATTTGACATCAACATTAAGCCAAAAGTTTCCTCCACAAATGTGACAAAGCTTTGATTTTCCTCCTTCTTTAAATCAATGTCAAAATCTCCTGCCAATATTATGGGCATTGTATTAGGACCTTCTGTGGCCATAATTGAAAACATCTCTCTAAATTTGGGAGCAGTATCAGAGATTTCTTAATAATTCTTATATAAGATAAGTACTTGTGATACTCTAAAACGTTTTTAACAGCACAATATCATATACTCTACGACGCACTTCTTCTACAAGCGATTCACAGCTCAGCTCTTTCCGCAATAACGAAAGCGGGTTGTTGACGGCAGTAATGAAACACAACAAAGCCAAATAAACAGATGACGTAACAATTTACACATTGTTATAGATCTTACACATCTTCCTAATGCTTTTTTGCCGAATGACCCTTCCGTATTTACGTCAAAAGTCAAGCATAATTCTCTGGATAGGAATCACGTAGTTGTATGAAAAATAAATAAAGCTGTGCCACTTAGGCCCCCCAAACACACACAGTTTGGCCTTCAGATCGGCCTTACAGGCAAAACTGTTACAGTTTGTCCTCTCCCTTTCCTTCCTCATACACGCACAGATAAACCAACAGGCTGCATGCCACAGTCACAGTCTTCCAGCCTATGTCGCCGAGTGCAGTGCAGTCATGTTTAGTTGTTAAAACATGTCTACAGTTGATGAACTGTTTGCATATGCAGCTATGTAATTCAAAAAAAAAAAAAAAAAAAAAACTCAAGTTATGGACCAAGCTCTGCTTCAAAAAGGGCGTCATTTATTAATTCCTCTGCATAAATCCATTCTCCATTATTTCCTAATGCTCGTAATTTGGAAGCGACATTTTTTGCAAAGAGGTCAAATTTGTCCTCGGTGCAGAAGAACACGAGACAGCAGCAGCAACTGAGCGATTGGCCTGCCGGTATCGTCACACACGTGCGTTCCGCCTGTCACGTGCTACGTCCTGCAGGCAGAACTGGTGGATTTCCTACAGTCCAACAGTCCAAACGATTGGCCGGCCG